TTTGGATCAACCTACAGCTGTGTTATCTCAGTTGAACGTTTGGTTGAATGATGAAGGTCAAGGTGTGGAACGAGGGGTCCAATTACGGAAGAGGAAGAGGATTATTCCTATGTGGAAGATCGTTGAAGCTAGTGAAGTGGTTAAAAAAAATTTGCCAAAGACAACCGGACTTCGGACGTTAGACCCAATGAAGGCGATTCCGCATGATGATATGGTGAAATTGCTGAAACTTTGTTCGGAATGGCGCCATAACCCAAAGTAAGTCCTTTGTTTTTTGAGATAGAAGGCATGAGTGTATATATTTTTTAATTGTTGTGTTCTAAAACTTTTTTATATTCATAGTTTGGTGATGCAATTTGGCAACGTGGAAGCTGAGATTGAATTCTTTGCTTCCCTCGTCAAAGCTGACGGTTGGCTGAAAGGAGATGTAAGTTTAATTGATTATGCATTTGTTTGAATGTGCATAGATTATTAGATTGACAAGGAAAACATGTGCAGCACATTGATTTGGGCTTGTATCTCATCCGGAAGCGACAACAACAGTTGGAGGAAGTAGAAATATCGGACTGGACAACGACCGATGTATTTTTTATGGTATGTGATGCAGGATGCATGGGACCTAAATTGTTTAGTTTCCTAATTGATTTGTTAGTTTCCTATATTCTTTAGTTTTCCAAATCCTAGTAGGATTTCTAAGCTAGTTTTCCAAATCCTATTAGGATTTCTAAGTTTCCTATTTTATTAGGAATATGATTTCTGTTTTACCTGGAGATTGTAATTCTATTGTCTCTAGGTTTTAGTTAGCTATAAATACCCCTATGTAGTTCTTTACAATTCAGATTTGAATATTGATTAAACATTCCTTTAAACTCTCTGATTGCTGCCTGCCTTCTACCTTTTCTTCCCTTCAGCTTTTCTTATCTGTTCTGTCTTATTGCTCTAAGTGTTTAAACTAACACACCCAGGGCTGTGCTACATCAGTATGGCATAGGCCTTGACGAAGTGCAGTTAATAATTACAAATTATCCATACTTGCTTTGTGGAGGTGTTTAACCATTGATTGTTTTCTATTTCACAGAATCACATCCATACTTGCTTTGCGGATAATAAAAGGAAAAAAGAGCAAGTTGGGTGGAAAATTAGAACCAGTTTAGTGAACGTTGTAAATGGCAAGGTTCCG